ATGTGGCCTCTCTCACAAGCCATAACACATGGCGACCCCACAAACAAGGACATAGACTCTCCCACAAACAAGGACATAGACTCTCCCACAAACAAGGACACAGACTCTCCCACAAACAAGGACATAGACTCTCCCACAAACAAGGACATAGACTCTCCCACAAACAAGGACATAGACTCTCCCACAAACAAGGACATAGACTCTCCCACAAACAAGGACATAGACTCTCCCACAAACAAGGACATAGACTCTCCCACAAACAAGGACATAGACTCTCCCACAAACAAGGACATAGACTCTCCCACAAACAAGGACATAGACTCTCCCACAAACAAGGACACAGACTCTCCCACAAACAAAGACACGGGGCCCTGTAGGCAAACAATCACAAAAAAATTCCGGAAAATTGCTCGACATAGTAAGAGATATGAGAATTTCAATGTATTTTTATTATTGAGTCTAAAGGAATATTGATGCGAACGAATCATTCAAAATGAAAACGAATATTTTTTTACCAGATAAACCCATTGGTCTATTACGTTTTTTGATGATAAGCCCCCATAAAAAAATGTATAGGGACATCCAGAAATTGAAATAAACAAAAGTGAATTTTAAAAAATATTGAACGGAACCAATTTTTTTTTTTGTTCGTTCAGTTTAGACAATTTTTTTTAATTGCATTATCGAGTGATTTTTTTTTCTTTGTTTTTCAGTAGAGACAAATAATTATTTTTGTATAGCTAAATAATATTATTATTTTCGTTTAAACCGACAATTTTTTTTTATTACAAAACAAAGAATTGATGACTGGGGTTAAGGCTGGCGGGGGAGGGGCAAGGAACAGAGGGGAAATTAAGAATGAAAACTAAGATTAAATAAGGGGAGAGTATATAGTGCACACACACACACACACACACACACACACACACACACACACACACACACACACACACAACACACACACACACACACACACACACACACACACCACACACACACACACACACACACACACACACACACACACACACACACACACACACACACACACACACACACACACACACACACACACACACACACACACACACACACACACACACACACACACACCAGCAATACCAACAGCTGGGCATGAAAACACTGAAAATAGAGATTTACATGTCCCAACCAAACAACAGACGCCCAAGAAAAAATATGATAAATTCAAACACAATTGCCTGAAGGTAATGGAAAAGGCAGCGACCGTTGCAAGGGAAGCTGAGCTTGCAATACATGTGGGGGGGGGGGAATTTCAACTATAAACAAATAGACTGGATAAAAAACGATCACTATATTCACGAGAGATAAGACATGGAGAGAAAAGTTAGTAGATGCAGCAGCCTGAGACGTGTCATAACCTCACAAAACTGGAAATAAAAAACAGAGTAATAGGAAACGAGTCAACAAAAACACCAGATAGAGTGTTTAGACCACTCTGCTGAGTGTATGTTGTATGAGACAGATGCCCAATCACTACAGTAGAGTATGAGACTCTACTGTATTGATTGGGCATCTGTTAAATGGTAAGACTCAGAAACACATTGAAGAAGATGAGAGAACACAGACTTGGGGACTACAGCAAGGGGAGGGACTACAGCAAGGGGAAGGGACTACAGCAAGGGAAGTGGACTACAGCAAGGGGGAGGGACTACAGCAAGGTGAGGGGCTACAGCAAGGGGAGGGACTACAGCAAGGGAAGTGGACTACAGCAAGGGGGAGGGACTACAGCAAGGGTTGGGACTACAGCAAGGGGAAGGGACTACAGCAAGGGAAGTGGACTACAGCAAGGGGGAGGGACTACAGCAAGGTGAGGGACTACAGCAAGGTGAGGGACTACAGCAAGGGGAGGGACTACAGCAAGGTGAGGGACTACAGCAAGGGGAGGGACTACAGCAAGGTGAGGGACTACAGCAAGGTGAGGGACTACAACAAGGTGAGGGACTACAGCAAGGTGAGGGACTACAGCAAGGTGAGGGACTACAGCAAGGGGAGGGACTACAGCAAGGTGAGGGACTACAGCAAGGGGAGGGACTACAGCAAGGTGAGGGACTACAGCAAGGTGAGGGACTACAGCAAGGTGAGGGACTACAGCAAGGGAGGGGCTACAGCAAGGGGAGGGGCTACAGCAAGGGGAGGGACTACAGCAAAGTGAGGGACTACAACAAGGTGAGGGACTACAACAAGGTGAGGGACTACAGCAAGGTGAGGGACTACAACAAGGTGAGGGACTACAGCAAGGTGAGGGACTACAGCAAGGTGAGGGACTACAACAAGGGAAGGGACTACAGCAAGGGGAGGGACTACAGCAAGGGGAGGGACTACAGCAAGGTGAGGGACTACAGCAAGGGGGAGGGACTACAGCAAGGGGAGGGACTACAGCAAGGTGAGGGACTACAACAAGGTGAGGGACTACAACAAGGTGAGGGACTACAACAAGGTGAGGGACTACAGCAAGGGGAGGGACTACAGCAAGGGGAGGGACTACAGCAAGGTGAGGGACTACAGCAAGGTGAGGGACTACAGCAAGGTGAGGGACTACAGCAAGGTGAGGGACTACAGCAAGGGGAGGGACTACAGCAAGGTGAGGGACTACAGCAAGGTGAGGGACTACAGCAAGGTGAGGGACTACAGCAAGGTGAGGGACTACAGCAAGGGGAGGGACTACAGCAAGGGGAGGGACTACAGCAAGGTGAGGGACTACAGCAAGGTGAGAGACTACAGCAAGGTGAGGGACTACAGCAAGGTGAGAGACTACAGCAAGGTGAGGGACTACAGCAAGGTGAGGGACTACAGCAAGGTGAGGGACTATCTGAGTGAAGTTCAATGGAGGAAAAAAAACAGAAGGGGTTTCCCTCAAAAATATCCAGCTACAAGGCAATGACACGAACGAGGACACCAAAGTAAACACCGAAGGTTCAATAGACAATGCCAAGAATCAAAGGAGAGAAGGAGGTAAAGCACAGATTAAGTAGAGAGACAACTAGGAACGCAGGATAATAGAGAATCAATAAATGGCGCCAGAAATATATCCAACCACGTCAGATGATAAGCTGGCGAGAGGGAATTTTGAAATGACATTGCTGCGAAAGCTAAGGACCAAGCCAAGCCATACTAGGAAGCTACAGCTAAAGTTATAGTCGTACAAGGAAGGGAACCCAAGTGGAGAGCACGTGAAACACAAACCGAAACTGTCTCTATTTTCCGCTTGCTACAACTTGTAATAAAGTTGTTACATCTTGGCTTAACGTGTTTATGACGCGTTAGAACGTTGTTACAACTTGCTATATTGGTTGTTATAACTGGTTAGAAGGTGTTAAACCTTGTTCGAACGTTGTATCAACGTCGTTGTTTCGGTGTGTGTTTGGCGGGGCCGAAGAGGCAATGTGGGATGGTTGTGGAGAAAGATTAAGGAGTATGGGAAGAACGTAAACAAGTATCTCAGGCGGTGTTTACAAATGTACCAGCGGAAAGAGCAGAGTTGAGAGATGAAAGGTAGGAGGAAACAACGGACGACACTGAAGAGGTTAAGAAACACGTGGTGGAATTAGATGGCTGGAATCACCGTGGTTGCTGAAGATAGCTGAAGAGGTACTATGTTGCCCCATGAACTAAAGTTTTCAATATAACACTGAAGGTTGGAAACCTTCCAAAATTTTGGAAAATGGCAAATGTTGTCCCAATATTATAAAAAAAGGGACAGAAAGAAGGCGCTATATTAGAGTCCCGTGTCACTGACAGGTATCCCGTGTTAAGTGATGGGAAAAGTAATCAGGTTGAGAGCCATTGAACACAACTGATAAACTTTGTAACAATTAAACAGCGTGGATTTAATAGGGAAAAAAGTTGTGCCTGACAAACTTGATCGAGTTCTATTGACAAAAATTCTATAATAAGGCAGGACGAAGTAGACTGGTAAACTGCATTTTCCGAAACGGTCAAAAAATCATATGTACTTTCATTCGTGACAAATGAGTGTACAAGATACAGACGCAAGCGTGGATGAAAACCCTGAACTGGGTGACTGAGAGGTAAGTACTGACAGGTAGGTAAAGGAACATACCTGAAGGTTAGAAAACAGTCACAGTCAGAGATGGAGGAAGATAACAAGAGGAGTTCCCCAAGGCTCGGTCCTGGGACCAGTATTGTTCATTATTAAGGTGAAGGGGAATGAGCTATCTTGAGATGATTTCGGAGCTTTAATGTCCCCGCGGCCCGGTCCTCAACCAGGCCTCCACCCCCCAGGAAGCAGCCCGTAACAGCTGACTAACACCCAGGTACCTATTTTACTGCTAGGTAACAGGGGCATAGGGTGAAAGAATCTCTGCCCATTGTTTCTCGCCGGCGCCCGGGATCGAACCCTGGACCACAGGATCGCAAGTCTAGAGTGCTGTCCGCTCGGCCGACCGGCTCCCTGGTCGAGCCGGTACAAGTCAATGTTTAACAGACGAATGGAAAACTAACGAGGTAAGTAAAAATCGAGGATGACTGCAGAAGGTTACAGGAAGATCTTGACAAGCTACACGATTGGGGGTGAACACATGCTTGCTAGAATTCAATCCCAACAAGTGTAAGGTAATAAAAAATGAGAAAGAGAGAATAGAGGCCAGAAGGAATCAAGGAATTGATTGAAGGAATCAATCAAGGATTCCAATCCTTGATTGGAATCAATTTTTGATTCCAATCAAGGATTGGAATCAAAAGTGATTCCAATCATTTTTGGAATCTTCCAAAAGTGACGGCAGCAGCAGGAGTCGCAGAGAGAGAGAAAAGGACTCAGTCGTGTCTACACATTCCAACACATTCCCCCAAAACACATTTAAACAGGCGTGATACACATATTGTTCGCTGACAAACATTACAAGGTAGTTTATAAACCTAAACAAACTACCTGATTTCTTTCAAGGTAATCAGCCTCTGTTTGACCAATGGTGGGATACGCAGCACCGGCCTGGACACCCCACCTTGTGAACCACAAAACAATAATTGGACAAATTGCAAAGATTTACAACAAGATTAGTGCCAGAGGCAAGAGGGCTGATTGATAAGGTTAAGAAAACTCCATATCACAACTCGGGATCAGAGAAGGAACAGAGGGAGGGAGGGAGGGACATGATCGCTGCATACAAGATATAGGGGAATTAACAAGGCATACAAGGGCAGCCTCTTTAAAGTGATAGAAAGCAGGAAGAGAGGACATAAGTGACCCTTCAAATAAATGGACGAAGGTAATATTGGAACCCTGTATGAGTACTCAACAATGGGAAAGCCCTCAAAGAAGAAGTTGTGGAAGCCACCTCCATCCACAACTTTCAGGCCAGGTTCGACAAGTGATTCACACGCCAGAAAAGCCAGATTATAACACAACAGATACAATAGGGGACAGAAAAATGGGGCAGTAATAGCAGGACCTCACTGCTCCCGTAGTCCTGGATAGGTAAGGGCTGATAGGTTAGCAGGGATAGGTAAGGGCTGATAGGTAAGCAGGGATAGGTAAGGGCTGATAGGTAAGCAGGGATAGGTAAGGGCTGATAGGTAAGCAGGAATAGGTAAGGGCTGATAGGTAAGCAGGGATAGGTAAGAGCTGATAGGTAAGCAGGAATAGGTAAGAGCTGATAGGTAAGCAGGGATAGGTAAGGGCTGATAGGTAAGCAGGAATAGGTAAGAGCTGATAGGTTAGCAGGGATAGGTAAGGGCTGAGAGGTAAGAGCTGATAGGTAAGCAGGGATAGGTAAGGGCTGATAGGTAAGGGCTGATAGGTTAGCAGGGATAGGTAAGGGCTGATAGGTAAGCAGGGATAGGTAAGGGCTGATAGGTTAGCAGGGATAGGTAAGGGCTGATAGGTAAGCAGGGATAGGTAAGGGCTGATAGGTTAGCAGGGATAGGTAAGGGCTGATAGGTAAGCAGGAATAGGTAAGGGCTGATAGGTTAGCAGGGATAGGTAAGGGCTGATAGGTAAGCACTCACCCACCACCGCAGGTCAAGAGGACCCAGGTCTTAATAGGTGTTAAGATGAAGAGTCACAGAGGCACTTTAAAGATGAACTCCTCTGATGGTTCTCCTCACAGCTTCCTGCTCTTCTAGGTCCTCATCCACCTCTTGTAGGTCCTCATCCACCTCTCATAGGTATTCATCCACCTCTTCTAGGTCCTCATCCACCTCTTCTAGGTTTTCATCCACCTCTTCTAGGTACTCATCCACCTCTTCTAGGTCCTCATCCACCTCTCGTAGGTATTCATCCACCTCTTCTAGGTCCTCATCCACCTCTTCTAGGTTTTCATCCACCTCTTCTAGGTACTCATCCACCTCTCGTAGGTATTCATCCACCTATTCTAGGTCCTCATCCACCTCTTGTAGGTACTCATCCATCTCTTCTAGGTTTTCATCCACCTCTTCTAGGTCCTCATCCACCTCTTCTAGGTCCTCATCCACCTCTTCTAGGTTTTCATCCACCTCTTCTAGGTCCTCATCCACCTCTTGTAGGTACTCATCCATCTCTTCTAGGTTTTCATCCACCTCTTCTAGGTCCTCATCCACCTCTTCTAGGTTTTCATCCACCTCTTCTAGGTCCTCATCCACCTCTTGTAGGTACTCTTCCATCTCTTCTAGGTTTTCATCCACCTCTTCTAGGTCCTCATCCAACTCTTCTAGGTACTCATCCACCTCTTCTAGGTCCTCATCCACCTCTTCTAGGTCCTCATCCACCTCTTCTAGGTACTCAACCACCTCTTCTAGGTCGTCATCCACCTCTTGTAGGTACTCATCCACCTCTCGTCGGTATTCATCCACCTCTTCTAGGTACTCATCCACCTCTTCTAGGTATTCATCCACCTCTTCTAGGTACTCATCCACCTCTTCTAGGTTTTCATCCACCTCTTCTAGGTCCTCATCCACCTCTTCTCGGTTTTTCATCCACCTCTTCTAGGTCCTCATCCACCTCTTGTAGGTACTCATCCATCTCTTCTAGGTTTTCATCCACCTCTTCTAGGTCCTCATCCACGTCTTCTAGGTACTCATCCACCTCTTCTACGTCCTCATCCACCTCTTCTAGGTACTCATCCACCTCTTCTAGGTCCTCATCCACCTCTTCTAGGTCCTCATCCACCTCTTCTAGGTCCTCATCCACCTCTTCTAGGTACTCATCCACCTCTTCCAGGTCCTCATCCACCTCTTGTAGGTCCTCATCCACCTCTTCTAGGTCCTCATCCACCTCTTCTAGGTCCTCATCTACCTCTTCTAGGTCGTCATTCACCTCTTCTAGGTCCTCATCCACCTCTTCTGGGTCGTCATCCACCTCTTCTAGGTCCTCATCTACCTCTTCTAGGTCCTCATCCACCTCTTGTAGGTACTCATCCATCTCTTCTAGGTTTTCATCCACCTCTTCTAGGTCCTTATCCACCTCTTCTAGGTACTCATCCACCTCTTCTACGTCCTCATCCACCTCTTCTAGGTACTCATCCACCTCTTCTACGTCCTCATCCACCTCTTCTAGGTACTCATCCACCTCTTCTAGGTCCTCATCCACCTCTTCTAGGTCCTCATCCACCTCTTCTAGGTCCTCATCCACCTCTTCTAGGTACTCATCCACCTCTTCTAGGTCCTCATCCACCTCTTGTAGGTCCTCATCCACCTGTTCTAGGTCCTCATCCACCTCTTCTAGGTCCTCATCCACCTCTTCTAGGTCGTCATTCACCTCTTCTAGGTCCTCATCCACCTCTTCTGGGTCGTCATCCACCTCTTCTAGGTCCTCATCCACCTCTTCTAGGTCCTCATCCACCTCTTCTAGGTCCTCATCCACCTCTTGTAGGTACTCATCCACCTCTTCTAGGTTTTCATCCACCTCTTCTAGGTCCTCATCCACCTCTTGCAGGTACTCATCCACCTCTTCTAGGTTTTCATCCACCTCTTCTAGGTCCTCATCCACCTCTTCTAGGTCCTCATTCACCTCTTGTAGGTACTCATCCACCTCTTCTAGGTTTTCATCCACCTCTTCTAGGTCCTCATCCACCTCTTCTAGGTCGTCATCCACCTTTTCTAGGTCCTCATCCACCTCTTCTAGGTCCTCATCCACCTCTTCTAGGTCCTCATCCACCTCTTCTAGGTCCTCATCCACCTCTTGTAGGTACTCATCCACCTCTTCTAGGTTTTCATCCACCTCTTCTAGGTCCTCATCCACCTCTTGTAGG